AATGAGAAATTCAGAATCGGGGCGTTACATTATCTCCACACCAATCTGAGTTTGGATGGCATGTGGTTTCAGCATCATCACCACCTGTGTTGTTAGGAAACAGCAGACCATAATTCATAATACCATTTAGGTACCTTAGAATTTTTCTTGATGTTTTCGTGCGATACCTTAAGATCCTTCATGCACATACTTATCAAGCAAATAGAAAAATCTATGTCAGGTCTGCTATTGCATAGGTATCTCCAAGAGCCTATTATTTGTTTAAATAGGGATGCATTAACCTTGTCCTCGTCTCCATTCTTCTCAAGTTTCAAGTTTGTTTGAATAGGTGAAGCTGCAAATCTAGATTCAAGCATGTTAAATCTCTTAAGAATTTTTTTAACATACTTTCTCTAATGCAAAATCATACCTCTTCCAATTCTTAAGAACTTCATGCCTAAGAAATAGGATAGCTCTCCCAAACCTTACATTTCAAATTCCTTCATCATCAGCTGCTTGAACTTGCTTAGATCTTTGATATTGTTTTCTGTGACCAACAAATCATCAACATGCAAATAGATGATTGTTATGTCACCTCCTTTAGACTATACATATACACCATATTCAGATCTAGATTTGGTAAAACCCAATTCCACCAAGTATGAGTAAATTTTCTTGTTCCATTCCTTATGTTCTTGTTTATGGCCATAGAGGGCTCTGTGTAATCTATATACCATATTTTCTTTCCCTTCTTTCACAAAAATTTGAGTTTGTGTGACATAGACCTCTCCATCTAATGGTCCATTGAGAAATGAAGATTTCACATCAAAATGAACCAGTTTTTCTTGCAGGCCAAGGCAACTACCAACCTAATTGTTTCCAATCTAGTAAGTGGAGCATACACTTTCGAGTAATCAATACCGTTCTCTGCATAAATCTTCTTGCAACTAGCTTGGCTTTATGCTTAGCTATTGAGCCACCAGGGTTATGCTTTAGCTTATTGATCAATTTTACCTCAATTGCTTTTATATTGGTTGGTAATTTGACAAATTTTCATGTATGATTCCTTTTTATTGCTGCCAACTCTTCGACCATAGAATTATTCCATGCTTCTATCTTCAAGGCTTCATTAAGGTTGATAGGTTCTGCAACAACTAGTAAGGCAAAATGAACAAGATCTTCATCCTTTATAACCTCATTATTAGCAATTACCTCACAATCTTCTAATCTTGCTAGGAGTATCCTTGTTCTCTAAGGGCTCTGAATGACCACATGTACATCTTCATGCAAGTCAGTTGGTATATCATCTTCTTCTTCTGACTCTTCATCCAACCCTGAACTCAATAAAGGTTTTCTACCTGTGTTATTTGATGTCCAATTCCATGTTTCATTTCATTAGTAATAATGTATCTACTAATTATAATTTTCTCACTGATTGGATTAAATAATCTATAAGCACTAGTTATGTGATAGTCAACCAGAATCATGACTTCACTTTTTTCCTCCAGTTTTTTTCCTTCTAACATCAGACACATGTTTGTACAAACTGAGCCAAACACATTACGGTGATTCATATATGGTTTCTTGCCACTACATACCTCTTCTAGAACCTTATTTTTTAATCTCCTTGTTGGACATTTGTTTAGCACATATGGAGCAGTAGTAACTGTTTTGCCGCACAATGAGTTAGGCATGCATTTTTGCTTTAGCATACACCTATCAATATCCAAGATGTTTCTATTCTTTCTCTTCTTCTCACTTTGATTTTTCACAATCAACTTAAATCTTTTAAACACTCCAAAGTCTCCATCTTTGTACTTCATCAAATACACTCAGAGCTTTCTACTATGTTCATCCACAAAAGAAACAAAGTATTTATTTCCACTAACTATATGGTCTTTAAAAGGGCCATAAACATCTTAGTGTACAACCTCGAGAAAGCTTTTTGATCTCATAGGAAAATAGGACTTGAATGAATTTCTGGATTGCTTTCCTACCAAGGAACCTTCACAAAACTTCTCAGGCATTGACAATTTTGGAATACCAAGTACCATCTTTTGTGTCACAAGCTGATTGAGAGATCTAAATTTCAAATGACTAAATCTCATATGCCACAACCAACTTTGTTTGTTTTCAATCACAGCCGTCAAACATTGAACTTCTGTTGAACTGATCAGAGTCTTAAAGGTCATGTTTTTTTGACAAATAAGACCTCAAAACCAACTTGTTGGTTGGATCAAAAAGTTCAAAGGCTTCATTTTTCATAGTTACTAAGAATCCTTTCTTAATAAGTTGGCCAACATACAACAAATTACACTTCATGCCTGACACATATAACACATCTTCAATTATGGTTGGCTTACCATTAATCCTTGTGATAATTGTGTTACCTATTTCTTCTGCCTACTATCTTCAAGTCTGATCTTACTCCTTCTCGAGTCATCAAACTTGATCAACAATAACCTGTGACCTGATATGTGATTTGTGTAATTTGTGTCTAGGAACTAGGTCTTGGAATTTGAACCTTCATCAAAAACTGCATCCATTAACACCATAGTTTCAGAACCACCTGAATCTTCATGTGTTGTATTTGCCTCATTGCCATCTTTACTTTTGAAAACTATTTTTTCTTTGTTGTACCAATAATCTTTGGCCATGTGACCACATTTCTCACAATTAAACATTAAATTGTCTTCTCGTTAACCTTTCCTTTATGACGAGAAATACTTATGCTTTTAGAAGATTCAGTTTTATCATTATTTTATTATTTTTAATTTTGAGGCCATGGACCCTCCTTGGCATTATTTTTGTCAAAATGCTCTTTGAATTTGTCATTTCCACCATGCCCTTTCCACGTCTGAGTTTGTAGAGCCTGAATGGCTTCTTGAACTCCTTTTCTTTCTACAATTTGCATCTCATGTGATTCTAAGGAACCTACGAGATCCTCCAACTTTATGGTGGACAAATCACTAGCCTCTTTAATTGCCATGATAACATGATCAAAATGAGAAATTAAAGTCTCATCACCTTTTCAATGACTATTCTATCTGTCATGGTTTCATTGTACCCTTTCATCAAGTGCACAAGATTTTGTACCTTGGACACATATGCTGAAACTTTCTTTGTCTCTCCAATCTACAGTAATTCATGCTACCTACGCAACATTTGTAGTTTCACATTTCTCGCCTCCTTCGTAATACTTGACAAGAACATCATATGTTTCTCTTGCAGATTCAGCACGAGCGATTCAGTCAAAATTTGTACAATTAGTTACAGCTTTGATGCAATAAGACGTTTTGCAATCTTCCTTCTTGGCATCTTTGTGATAGGTGCGTTGAGCTTCAGTTGCATTCACTGCAAGATCCGCCACACCATTAGTGACTACCTCAAAGGTTTCTCGAAAGTCAAACAAAAACTTCATTTGTTTGATCAAACGACCTCAATTCTTGCCATTAGGAACATGAATGGAATGTGGAATGTTATCGCTTTCATTCATCGTTGATAAACCAACCAAGAATCAATGTCCTAGAGGTGCAAAATCTCCTTCGAAACCAGAAGCTTTGGATACCAAGTTGTTAGTGCAACTGCACTTAGTGAAGAGACAGAAAGAATATGCAAGATGTGGGAGAAGATGTCTTGGACATGTGTGAGAAAAGTTTGTATTGTTATTAGAAAAGCTCTCAAAATGAAAGTCAACACATCACTTATATGTAAATATTCTATGACTTATAATCCAAATAACCGATCCGAATAACTTCTAACTAACTAACCACCTTCTGACTACTTTAAATATATTAACTAAGAACACCTTATACTAATCCAAAGATAATTAAAATACTAGTTTATTTCTTTCTTTAGATACCCCTTTCACACAATTCCCAATTCAATCACTCGAAACTTAATGTAGCAAAATACATATAACAAAAATCTACATTTTTTCTATTTTATTTTGTGTGTCCTTTTTTATGGGTCTATCATAAGGGAAAAGCTGGGTCAAACACTCAACTAAAAATTAAAGACTCATTCTTAGAAGTGAGAGACACATCACATATTCGCCTAAAATTTTAAAGTGATAAGTGTATGAATCCTCTTACCTATAAAGTATTTAACCTCCACTTTTCTAAAGACATAGAAATTATACTTATTTCTCAAGACATACATTTTTTTCTTAACACTTTTTTTGGTCCAATTATGTTTTACTATTTGCAAATGCAGCGGTGGATTGGAGAAATAAAACAAAAGGTTACCTTGAAGAATTTCAAACAATGTTAGATAGATTGGCGCAAGAAGATAGTTATGAAGATGGTAATTTAATGATGTAGAAGAAAAGAAAGACTTGGTTATGATAAAGTAGAAGCTTTAGAAAAGAACTTTCTATGTATTATTTGAGCTTGGACATTCTAAAGCTCCTCTTTTCTGTCTTTTTCAATCTCCACATTCATTTCCAACCCTTCCAGCAGTTCACTCCAAGCTTATTGGCTGTGATCTCTAAAGGGTAAGTTTTCATTTCTCAAAATTTACACAAATTCTTGTCAAAGTTTACTACCTCTGTCTTCTTCTGTTGCATATTTTTGATTTCCATTGGAACTTTCTGTGTAGTGGAAACTGATCCACATGATGGTATATTACAACATTCTCATGTTTTCATCAAACATATTCTGTTTGCATTATGTTAAACTCAAAAAATTACAAATTTTATCTTCAAAAGTAATCAATTCTATAGATCATAATCAATTCTATAAATCAAAATTAATTTCACACTCTTAAAATGACTTACAAAATGGAAACCAAACATTCATTTACAAAGCCACAAGTTTGTTATTCAGAAGTACAATGAAGTACTAGTTTTGTTGGAAGTGTTGGAACATATGAGGCAACACAACCAACGTGTGTAATGTTGTTTGTTTTTACCAAATTACTTAACTACTATCCTAAATTTCCCCTTTCATTCTTCCTCTTCAATATCAATTTCTCTCTTCAAGCTTAACATTCCTTCCTCTAAGGATCCAACACAAACTGTAATGTCTCGCTGTTCTATCAACGATACCGATATAAGTTGGTTGTACGTAGATACAGCTTATCAAGACCTCAAAAATAGAACTCACATTGTGAAAACCTCAGAGGATACTTTCATCTGTCCCTACTGCCCTTACAGAAAACAGGATAATTCATACAGGGAACTCCTACAACATGCTTTTATGGTGGATCGGACTAGTTCCGAAAAAATAAGTGCCAGAGAGAGGGCTAACCATCTTGCTTTGCTGAAATATTTGGAAAAGGATATCGTTACCATGCCTGGACTGTTAAAACCAGTCGAAAAAGATACTCAAACAAGTTGGTTGTATATAGATAGATTTTATGAAGAGCTCAAGAAGGGAAGTCTCAAAGTGAGAATCTCAGACGAGACTTTCGCTTGTCCATACTGCCCGAAAATGAAGAGACCGGGCTACCTGTACAGAGAACTCTTTGAACATGCTTCTGGTGTCAGTCAGATTAGTTCGCAAAAGATAAGTGTCAAAAAGAAGGCAACTCATATGGCTTTAATGAAATATTTGAAAAATGATATAATTCTGAATGTGACTGCTCCATCTACGTCGAACCGAGGAGAAACTTCTACAGGCCACACTTCTAAGGAACAGGATCTTATGATTATGAATGTGGAACATCCAACAGAATCAGCAAATGGAGGCATTCTTGTCGATTCCGAAAAGCAGTTTGTGTGGCCGTGGACTGGGATTGTGGTTAACATTCTGACGAGAATGACAGAAGACGGACAATGTGTTGGTGAAAGTGGTTCTAAGCTAAGGGATGAATATCGAATCCGAGGCTTTAATCCAAGTAGAGTCCGCCCACTCTGGAATTCCTCGGATCACACTAGAGCTGCAGTCGTGGAATTCGATAAAAGTTGGTCGGGGTTATATAATGCATTGGCATTTGAAAGAGCGTATGAATTAGATCATCATGGGAAAAAGGATTGGCTTTCTCATACCGGACAGAAATCTGGTCTCTACGCGAGGGTTGCCCGAGCGGATGACTATCAAATGAACAATGCAATCGGGGAACAACTACAGAAAATGGATGTTAAGACAATACCTGAAATCATGGAACATGATGATAGAATGTTTGATACACTTGTCTCTAGTTTGAATAACACTCTTCAGGTAAAGAAAAACAAGATAAAAGAAATGGAAGTAGAATGCGACCAAATTACACTTCACATGGACGTTGTAACAGGCGAAATAGACAGACTTTCTCAATCTCATTGTGAAGGTATCTGTTATTATCGAACCGACGCTAATTTTTCTCTAATTTGCAACGATTCATTGTTTTCAAATAACTTTGAGTTACTCGAATGGTGTTGTTCTACGTTGTCATTGCTTTGCTTGTATTCAGAGATGAACAAAATACAGTCAAGTGCAACTCAACACTTTCACAGTGTTTTGAATGGTCATGAACTACTAAAGTTGCAACTGGAATCACAGAAAAGAGAACTTGAGTTGCGAAGAATTGAACTGGAAAAACGCGAGGCGAATAATGAAATTGAAAGAAAAAAGTTGGAGGAAGAGATTAATGAGGTGTAGTGCTTTTCTAACTTTTTGTTTAATCTCTTTTATCATACTGTGGTTGGAATCTTGTTGAATGTTCTGTTTAGCCCCATGCTTATTTTTGTTTCTTTTTTAGACTTCAAAGAAAAATGGCTTTCTTGAAATGGCTGCTATGGAGCAACAGAAAGCTAGTGAAAATGTTTTGAAACTCGCCGCAGATCAAAAGGTTTGTGTAACTTGTTTTATACTTTGTTAATGTATGGATTAATCTAATGGTGCTTCGTCATCGATTTATCTAGCGGCAAAAAGAACAACTCCATGCAAAAATCATCGAGCTTGAAAAACAACTAAATGTGAAACAAAAACTGGAATTGGAGATTCAACAACTAAAAGGAAAGTTAAATGTCATGAAGCACATGAAAAATGATGTAGACTTTGATGTTCCAGATAAGATGTATGCTTTACACAGAGATTTAAGAGAAAAGGAACTGTCGCTTCGTGAGATGAACACATTGAACCAAACACTGGTCGTTAAAGAGCGTAAGAGCAATGATGAATTGCAGGAAGCTCGAAAGGAATTGATTACTGTAATTTCTCTAACGATATCTTTTGTACTAGTGCATGGATTTTATGCTATAAAATTTTCTCAAATTTTTTAAACTCTCTTGGATTTTTATCTATTGCAGACCATTAAAGAGATGCCGAGGCGTGGCAATATTGGCGTGAAGAGAATGGGGGAGCTTGATAGTAGGCCATTTCTAGAAGCTGTGAAGAAGAAATTTAACGCGAAAGATGCAGAAGATAGAGCTTCGAAACTGTGTTCGTTATGGGAAGAGTATCTGAAGGACCCGGACTGGCATCCATTTAAAATTGTTATAATTCAAGGGAAACATCAGGTGTGCGCCTTTCTCGAGTTATAGGTCTCCTCGAATCTGCGTGCATGATATCACTTTTTAAGTTTAAGTCTTATGATTTCAGGAAGTTATAGATGATGAAGATGAAAAGCTGAAAGAGCTTAAGAATGAGATGGGGGAAGAAGTTCAGGGAGCTGTGGTAGCAGCATTGAAAGAGATAAATGAATATAATCCGAGTGGACGGTATGTAACCTCGGAGTTATGGAATTATGCAGAGGGAAAGGAAGCAAGTTTGCGAGAAGGAGTAAAAGTTTTATTGAAAGAATGGAAATTAAAAAGACGGAAAAAGGGAAGGAGATGAAGGCGGGTAGGTATGTTTCTAATGGAATAAGCATATAGGTATGTTTCTTATGTGTCTAAGTTTTCTTATGTTGATTCCTTTTCATATTTTACAGTGGAGTTGTTTCTTGTATAAGAAAACCATTTAAGAAAACATTAACAGCTATTTATGAATGAAAAATAAGTTTGTACATTGTTTAGTGTATACATGAAGCCTTTTAATTATAAATTAGATTTCACCGGTAGATGCCATATAATTAACATAAATTAGATTTCAGAAGCTCCATATGTATCTATTTGGGAGTCTCTCCAACACATAAGGGTCGCAAGTGCATGGACAAAAGAGTGGCAAGGTTTTTATCTCAAATGATTTTGTTTTCAGTGAACCAGAATTTCCCTATACTATTCTACAACTTGAGTCAATCACATCTCCATCAAACTAATGCCAATATACCACTTCCTTACTTCTACCTTTGTGTCCTAACTCTCAAAAAAAACTTAACCAGTCACACAGAACCAGTTCCATCAAATGATATATCTCATAAGTCACATCACATATAGTCAAATTTATTAGAAGAAATTCATATTTAGTTGTATTATTACTTAGCCCCTAAGTTTGTTAGAGGGTATTTTAGTATTTTATCTTATTCTAGTAACCCTAGTTTTAGCTTATAAATAGGGTTGCAATCATTGTAATCTTTTAATGAGTTGTGTAGCCGTCATTCTCTTTAATAGAATATTTCCTCTGTTCATCATTTATTCACCTTTGCACCAACAATTGGTATCTAGAGCTCCGGTTCGGATTCATTGAAAAACACGGGAAACACGAGTGAACGTGAGACCTTGTGTGTTTGATTTTGTTTCTTAGATTCGTGTTGAATCTTGAACAAAATCTGATCAGAATTTTAATTCTGTGGGTTGGGAAGCACTGTGTGAGAAATCTAAGTGTACTATGCAAGGTAGAAGATGAACGGAAACGGCAACATGAACACCAAACTTTCAGTATTTGATGGTAAAAACTGGAATCGTTGGATGATCCAAATGTGTGTATTGTTCAGTGCTCAAGATGTTCTAGATCTTGTCACTGATGGTTATGTTCTGGTAGCAGCAGATGCGACGGATGAACAAAAAAACGCGCAGAAGGAAGTAAGGAAGAAGGATCAGAAAGCATTGTTCTTCATATATCAATGTGTGGATGTAAATGTGTTTGAGAAGATTGCAGATTCAACGACAGCAAAGGCTGCGTGGGACACACTGGTGAGATGTTATGGTGGGGACGCATCAGTGAAGAAGGTGAAGCTTCAGTCCTTGAGAAAGCAATATGAGAATCTCAACATGAAGAATAATGAGAAAGTCTCTAAATACATCTCCAGAATGACTCTGATCACTAATGAGATGAAGGCGTGTGGAGAAACTCTTTCTGAAGAAGCAATCATGGAAAAAGTATTGAAATCCCTTACCTCTCAATTTGATTACATTGTGGTAGCAATAGAACATTCCAAAGATCTGAGCACCATGAGAATTGAAGAGCTGCAGAGCAGTCTAGAAGCGCAAGAGTTGCGTTTGAATGAAAGAACTTCTGAAAAGGAAGTAGAGCAGCAGGCTCTGAAAGTAACTTCTGATAGGAGGTATCAGAAGTAGTTAGAAGCCAAGAGAAGATCTGATGGTGGTCAGAAGTCAGAAAGCTCAACCTCTAATAGACAAAAGAATGCTCAGAAGGGAAAAGAGAAGTATGACAAGAAGAAAATCCAATGTTACTGTTGTAAGAAGTTTGGTCACTTTGCTTAAGATTGCTGGTCAAACAAGGAGAGAAAATCAGAAGAAGCAAATATGGCCAGAAGTTCTGATGACGAATCTGTGTTATTGATGGCCTCTGAATCTGATGATATGGATCTGATAGACTTATGGTATATGGACACTGGTTGTTCAAATCATCTTACTGGAAACAAGAAATGGCTGGTTGACTTTGACTTTGAAAAGAGAACAAAGATCAGATGTGCTGATGACAAATATCTTAACGCAGAAGGTATGGGAAATGTCAGAATGATTCTGAACAATGGGAAAACAACATTGATTCAGAACGTGTGGTATGTACCTGGCATCAGAAGCAATCTGATGAGTGTGGGACAATTAATTGAGAAAGGTTTTTCAGTTACCATGAAGGAAAATCTTCTGAAGCTGTATGACTGCAATAAGAAGTTGATTATGGAGTCAAAGTAGGGAAGGAATAGGACATTCAAGGTGAATGTCAGAACTGCAGACTCAAAATGTCTTAGTGCAACAAGTGCTGAGAAGGAGAGTGAGCTGTGGCACAGAAGATTCGGTCATTTGAATTTCAGAAGCTTAAAACATCTGAATTCAAAGAAGTTGGTACATGGAATTTCTGCAATTAAGAAGCCTGAAAATTCATGCAAAGTTTGCATGGAAGGAAAACAACCACGATTGCCATTTGCGTCAGAAGCTTCTCCAAGAGCAAAACATGCCTTGGGAGTTGTACATTCTGATGTGTGTGGTCCGTTTTCAGTAGCATCGATTGGAGGGAATAAATACTTTGTGTTGTTTGTTGATGAATTCACAAGAATGACATGGGTATCCCTTATTAAGTTTAAACACGAGGTGTTTGATGAATTCAAGAAGTTCAGAATGAAGGCTGAGAATCAGAGTGGTTAGAAGTTGAAGATTCTTAGAACTGACGGTGGAGGTGAGTATAACTCCAAAGAGTTCCAGAAGTTCTGTGAGGAGAATGGAATTGAGCATGAGGTTACTGCTCCTTATACCCCTCAACACAATGGTCTTGCTGAAAGAAGAAACCGCACTTTGCTTGATATGGTGAGAAGCATGCTAAAGGAGAAGAAGCTGTTGTCACTGCAACGTATGTACTCAACCGATGTCCTACGAAGAAGTTGAAGGAAATAGTTCCAATACATAAGTGGACTGGAGATAAGCAAAGTGTTAGTCATCTGAAGGTGTTTGGTTCTGTTTGCTATAAACATGTTCCAGAAGCCAGAAGGCAGAAGCTGGATGATATAAGCAAAGTGATGGTTCTGATAGGGTACCACAGTACAGGTGCATACAAGCTCTATTGTCCAGAAACCAGTAAAATTGAATTCAGCAGAGATGTGATTGTGAAGGAATCAGAAGTTTGGAATTGGGATAAGTCTCAATCTGATTTTGATGTTAGAACTTCTGAAGAAAGGTCAGAGTTAAGAATTTTTGAAGTTGGAGTAAACTTTGACGTTGACTCTGACTCTGATAGTGATTCAGACTCTGGAGAAGACTCAGAAGATGAAGGTGACTATGATGATCCAGACTCTAATGGCAATCCAGATTCTGGTGGCAATTCAGACTCTGAAAATATGCCAGACTCTGAAAATATGCCAGACTCTGAAGATGGTCAAAGCTCTGGAGGAAGTCAATCATCTGAAGCTAGAAACTCTGAAACTCAAGACTCTGAACAAGTTCAGAGACCACAAAGAATAAGAAACGTCCCCAGAAGATATGTAGAATTTGACATGCTGCAAGATACTGAAGTAGACTCTGAAGGAGAAGTTATTCAGTGTGCCATGATAGTAGACTCTGAACCCATAAGTATAGAAGAGGCTCTTAAGTAGAAGCTCTGGCTGAAGGCCATGAAAGAAGAACTTGGTGCTATGGAGAGAAATAAGACTTGGAAGCTGACAGAACTTCTAAAAGACAAGAAAGCCATCAGCGTCAGATGGGTTTTCAAGCAGAAGTTAAAGCCAGATGGTTCAATTGGCAAACATAAAGCAAGGTTGGTAGCCAGAGGATTTCTACAGAAACATGGGCTGGATTATTCTGAAGTGTTTGCACCTGTAGCAAGACATGAAACAATCAGAATGGTGATTGCAATAGCTGCTAACAGGAATTGGCCTCTGATGCATTTAGATGTAAAATCTGCATTTCTGAATGGTCCATTAGAAGAAGAAGTTTACGTGTCACAACCTCCTGGATTTGTGAAAAAGAATCAGGAAGGGATGATGTATAGATTATACAAAGCTCTATATGGATTGAAACAAGCGCCCAGAGCTTGGAATTAGAAGATTGATTCATTTGTCAAGAAGCAAGGCTTTCAGAAATGTGAGATGGAGTACGGTGCTTATGTTCAGCATACTTCTGAAGGCAATATGACTCTGGTGTGTTTATATGTTGATGACATACTGCTGACTGGAAGTTCTGAACAGGAGATAGCCAAGTTCAATAAAGTTCTGATGAATGAATTCGAAATGACTGATCTAGGCAAAATGACATACTTTCTAGGGATGGAGTTCAAATATTCTGAGAAAGGTATCATTTTGCATCAGCTCAAGTATGAATTAGAACTTCTGAAGAGATTTGAACTAAAGAATTGTAAGATTGTTGTCACACCTTCTGATACAAATCAGAAACTGGATTCTGACTCTGATGGAAAGGATGTGGACGCTACATCCTTCAAACAGTTGGTTGGTTCTCTGAGGTATATGTGCAATACCAGACCTGATATTTTCTATTCTGTTGGGATGGTTAGTAGGTTCATGAGTAAACCTAAGTGGTCCCATTGCCAAGTTGCTGTCAGGATTCTGAGGTATATCAAGGGAACTCTGAAGTATGGAGTGTTATTTCCTTCTGGAAGAAAGAATGAGTCAGAGCTTCTGAGTTATTCAGATTTTGATTGGTGTGGAGACAGAATTGACAGAAGAAGTACCTCTAGGTACTTGTTCAAATTTCTGGGAGGTCCCATTTCTTGGTGTTCCAAGAAGTAACCTGTTGTGGCGTTATCAACCTGTGAAGCTGAATACATTGCAGGTGTTGTTACTGCATGCCAAGCTGTGTGGATTCTGAATCTGTTGCAGGATCTGAAGATTAAAATAAACAAACCTCTGAAGCTGATGATTGATAACAAGTCTGCAATCAATCTTACCAGAAACCCAGTGTTGCATGGGAGAAGCAAGCATATTAAGACCAAGTATCATTTTCTGAGACATCAAGTTTAGAGTGGAGTGTTAGAAGTTGTACACTGCAGCA